TGCCCCCATCCACTCCTCCTCTGTTTCTATTTAGAAAGGGATAGCCCTCCCATGGATGTCAACAAAGCATGGCATAAAAAGTTGAGGTAAGACTAAACTCCTCCATATGAAGAATAGGTTCCCAAAAGCCAGTTCAATGGTTAGGGATGAGCCCTGATTCCACTGATAGGAGTTCCATAGACTAAGCTACATAACTGTCACACATATGTAGAGGGCCTAGATCAGTCCCATGCAGGCTTCCTAGCTGCCAGTCCAGAGTCTGTGAGCATCTATAAGCCAAGGTTAGTCGTTTCTGTGGGTTCTCTTGTGATGTCCTTGGCCCCTCCTGGCTCATACAATCCTTCCTCCCTCTCTTCAACAGGGTTCCTGGAACTCAGCCCAGTGCTTGGCTGTAGATCTCTGCATCTGTTTCCATCACTGAACGAAGGCTTGCTGATGACAGTTAGGGTAGTGAACAATCTGATTACAGGAGATGACCAGTTCAGGCACCCTCTCCACTATTACCAGGAATCTTAGCTGGGGTCATCCTTGTGGATTCCTGGGAGTTTCCCTGGCACCAGGTTTTTCTCACCCTGAAATCCCACTCCCCCATGAAAGTAATGGAACAGTGTCATCTTACATAGATGAAAGAACCATGAGGCTTAAAATAACTCAAAATCTGTGACTTAGATCTACTGTCATGTTTTCTAATGCATCCAAAGATGCACAGCTTAAAGAAAAATATAAAATTATAATGCAGGAACTAAGATCTTTTCTGTATTAACAGAAGACAAAGTGAAAAGATGATCTCTTCATTTTTAAAATGCACAAAGGTTCACAAAACCCCTAGAAAACATAACAGAAAAGAAAATGTGGGACTCTGGAAAAGAAGCAATCGGTAAGCCACACATATTGACAGCAGAGAAGTGTGGAGCAGTACCCCTGCATGCACGTCTGCATACAAGACACAAGATACTTTACAAACACAACTCTGTCAAATTTAACCCATTGATGAAACAATCCAATTAAAAAGACCCTGATTTTTTTTCAGAATTCAACAAACTATTTTAAAGAACATTTTTCATTTACTTATGCACAAATGAGGGGGAATTTTGGAGGCTTGGCAGTGCATCTAAGTCAGTGGCACACTTATCTCACATGTGCAAGACCCTGGATTTGGACCTCAGCACTGCAAATATTAGTATATACGTACAGTCAGAAAAATATTTCAAACTGGCTAATTTTATTTGCTGCTGTTTTTCATTTCCACTGAATTTTCTAGTTGATTTGACAGTGTGAAATGGAATTTGGAAGTAGAGATTTCCTGTTCTGCCCTCAATTTCCAGATGGTGTACCAAGAGTGCTGCAGCACCATACAGCAGTTATGTGTTTGTAGCCTGGTGCTGGTATTGACCCAGAGTGGGCAGTACATGGTTGGAACTGCCTTGCAAAAGCCTTTCCCCCGCAAACAAACACGTGCAAAGATGATCTGAATGCATGCCCACTATGCTGATCAGTGTTGACGGGGAGGACAGCCTCCCACCCCCAGGACTGGCCTATGGGTTGGTGAGGTGTTCCTCCATGTACTTACCAGCACTGTGGTAGGTGCCAGCAACCAGAGTATTGCCAGAACCAAGCCTCACCCATGTCAGATCATGCAACTTCTACGACGCAACAGCTACAAGGTTCAGCCTTTGAAATGATAGCCAAGTGCAGCTAATAATAAACCAGTGCTTTATGCCAAGGAAGAAGATTGTTTTATTGGCTGATGAGTCACCCTCCTTCTCAATGACACGTTATAAAAATTGTTTTTCCTCAGGAAATTCCCACAAGTTTACACGGGAGCCCAGAAGCACCATGGCTGTTCTTGGCATCACAGTTGCCTTGCTGGTGTGGGTGGTCACCCTCCTGATGATATCTGTCTGGAAACAGATCTATAGCAGTTGGAACCTACCCCCAGGACCCTTCCCACTTCCTTTCTTTGGAAATGTTCTTCAGGTGGATTTGAAGGATATCCCCAAGTCCTTCAACAAGGTAAGAGAAATATTGCTGCATCAAGGAAACAAGTTAGAGATTAGATATCGTGCATATAGATCAACCTCATTGTCAGTTGCTATCCAATGACAGATTATCATGATATTTGCATTACATCTGTTTTACAGTCCAGTCCATCTTGGACATGTAACACTCACAGTGAGTAGTGCCATGCATGACCAGATGCCCCATGCAGCTGGTATCATCATATGCCAACTGTGATATAACAACAGGTGTACTCCAGCTGGCATCAGCCTGTGTCTAAGAACAGACTGAAAGGGAAATGGAAATATTGAGCCAACTGTGATTCACCAGAATAACAACATCTGCCTTTTGCTAATTCTGTGAACACTGCATGGGCTAGCCAACACCAAAATGCTTCTAGGCATGAAATTGATGCTTGATGTCTGTGTTCCAGGTTGTCTTTGCTAATGACAGGGTAGCTATAGGTTTCAGGATCATTGACTCCAAGTTAGCTGGTAGTATCCTGGCATGCAGAACCTTCACTTTGGGAACAAACAATAGGGTGATTAACATTGTCACTTATTAAACAACCACAGAGAAGAGAATTGTGTCTGGACAGAGGAAAGGGCCCCTACAAACACAGCAACTTTAGGTGAAGAGAGTCTCTCCACAACAGACTGGACAAATATGACCTTTCCCCAAAGTCCTCTAACTCTCCGTGAATAGCAGGAACAATAACAGGAGATGAGGGCAGTGTAGAGCAGGCTGACTCCCTTCTACCCCGTGCTCCACTTTGTGCATTGGTCCCTGTAGCTGGCAAAGCGCTTCGGGCCAGTATTCACACTACATATGGGCTCAAGACGCGTCGTGGTCCTGCATGGCTACAAGGCTGTCAAGGAGGTGCTACTGAACCACAAAAATGAGTTCTCTGGCCGAGGGGACATTCCTGTGTTCCAGGAGTATAGGAACAAGGGTAAGTTGGCTTTCTGGGTCACTGGAGGGGGGCATACTAACAGGGAGAATGAGGTACATACCATTTAATCCCCCCAATATTAACAAACTGTAGTGACAGTAACAGAATGAAGACAGAAAGGCAAAGACTCAGATGATGGCTTGTACTTGCATGGAACCGGCTTTGAGAGTTGTACTGAGTAGGTACTGTGAACCCCATGAGAGGCCCTCTAGGCCCACACCCTCTGCATTTCTTGGGATTCTTTACACACAGCCTCAACCGTCAACTGGTGTAGATGGTTCCACACACCCAAGTGCTTTCACTGAGCATGAGGTAATTAACCTGCCTGGCATTCTGTTTGTAGGGATGGACCAGACTTTAGGTCTTTGCCTTTGCTTTCCTCTATTGTAGTTGGTAATCTGCAGAGAGACAGAGACAGAGAGAAAGAGAGAGCTGTGCTGTCCTGAGTCTATCTCACCTGTTCCCTCCTGCAGCAGGGAAGTCTGGAATGCAAGCTGACTAACCATTTACACAACTCCACCTTCTACTGAGTGTGGGCACCTAGAACTAGGAATGCTCCCAGCTCACTAGTGCCATCTGCTTGCCCAGCCTCCACCTTATCTGACCTTTTGGCTTCCTCTTTGTAAGCAGGTATCCCAAAGCAGACAAGAGAAAAGTGTCCCATAATTCTGCCTGAGTCGGTTCTGGTGATAAATTTCTACAAAGCTTTTTCCTTTTGTGTGAGATTTTACATCAGTGCTTGGCCTGATGTCTTATCCTCCGTGTCCACCTTGGTTTCCCAGTCTGTGGTCCAAAACTATCTTGCCTCGAGCAGTAGCATTTGATGTTCCTTAGTCAGTACTGGGGCTTTCTGTACAAACAGAAGTAACTGTCTCAGCCCTTGTCATAGGAGTTACAAAAATGTATCAAGCAAAGTGACAAGGACCTTCTGGAAAGAGCATAACCCTTTATGTGGGACCCTTACCTGTCCTCCAGTCAAGATCAGAAAATGGAACAGTAGAATTAGGTTCTGCATCTCCACAGGATAGATTTAAGAGGCATTTTCTGCTTCTATCTAGAGGCTCCAAAATCCTATTTTTATGCATGCCACACAGACCAGAAGGGCTTGTAAAATCAGTTGGGCCTTAGGTAAGGGATGACTTTGAGTCTCCAGTGTTTATTATATGAGTGTATGGCAATGTACCAAAATAACTACACACATCATTTGAGTAAATGTTGAGAAAACATGGTCTCTCCTGGACACTCAGCCTAGTGAAAGGCCCCCTTACTGCAGTAGTAGGCTAGCAGCTTTGCCATTCTCTCAGGCATCGGGACACTCCTTAACCTTCAGGATAAAACTGAAGTCAAGTCTGACCCACAGCTCTTATTCATACCACATACTTCCCTGTCCCCTCTCAGGCTGGCCATCGCTTGTTCTAAAAAGTTCTTTAGACCACAGTAAGCATATGTCTCCTGAGAACTTTCACATGTTCTGCAGGGTGTTTCACTAGGCATCTCACATGTGATTAGGCAGTTAATATAGGAGAGATTATGAAATGCAAGCAAGCACTGCACCCCATGTGGATATTACTCACTATCGTTTGTCTCAGAATGCTCAGAGCCTAGAAGGTGTCATATACACAGTAGATAGCAAAACATTATTTACTGAAGAAATGATTATGGAAAAGTAAGAAAAGAAGGGGGTAAAGAACAAGAAAGAACTCCTGGAGTGTAGAGAGACCTGAAGGGCTTTACTAGGCAAAACTGGGTGGGACTGGGTGGAGCAGGCCCTGGATACTTTGAACTGGCTCCAGGAGACAATTAACAAGCAAGCCATCAGTCAAGATGACTTAAATTCAGATTTGAGGATTGAAAAGGCTCACAGAATTAACTGAGCTAGAGATGGAAGAAAAGAAAAAAATAGTTTCAGATTGCTGATTCCCATTGTCTTCATGGGGTCATTGGGTTGTGTTCCAGGAGGACAAAGAATACTTCAAAGGGAAAGGGCTCCACAACATTTCACTGAGGAGGGATAGTACTCAGTCTTTCTAGCTTAATTTCTCCCAAAATGGGAAGTCCTGTGACCTTTAGATTTTAGTAAAGAATGTTTCTCTGAAACCAGAAAGCTGTGAATTGAAGTGCTTGCGATGTGAAGGTTAAAATCCATGAGTTCAGAAATGATGCTAAGAATTCTATCAAGAGGCAGAAAAAAGGAGAGAGCCACTTTTGGAGTGGCTGCCTATAATTTATTTAGCATGGTAAAGGTTCAGAGCAAAGTATGAAACCAAAGAAATTAACTGGTACTAAGAAGAAACAACTAGAAAACACAGCCTTCTGGTCCCTTCTCTTGTGCTTCTTCTGCACCTGAACATCCTACCCAGGACCCAAGACCATTTCCCCCTCCTCCCTGCTTCTCCATGAATTGACTATTTGGAGTAACTCCTATTGGTCCCTTTGTCTTAGGGATTATTTTCAATAATGGACCCACTTGGAAGGACGTCCGGCGGTTTTCCCTAAGCATTCTCCGTGACTATGGGATGGGGAAACAGGGCAATGAGGTCCGCATCCAGAGAGAGTCACGCTTCCTGGTGGAGGAGCTCAAGAAGACCAAGGGTTCGTATCTCAGCAGTCGAAAAGGATCACAGCTAGGCTCCCAAGGACACTGAACAACCTAGAGGCAGTCGGTAGCTAAAGTGTTGGTCCCTGGGCACTACCTTTCAATTTGAGTTTCAGTTCTTCCCAGAAGAGAAAGGCTGACTGCCAGCTGTGGTTGTTGTACTCTACATAGCATCAAAAAGTAAAGACACTGGGAGACCCAAAAATTCACTATGTCAGATGGTAGTGGCTCACACCTTTAATCCCAGCACTTTGGAAGGCAGAGGTAGGTGGATCTCTGTGTGTTCAAGGCCAGCCTGGTATACAGAGCAAGTTCCAGGATAGGTTCCAAAGCTACAGAGAAACCCTGTCTCGAAAAATCAAAATCAAAGGAAAACAAAATAATTCTTTATGTCCTCAGTGAGAACTCATGAAGACCGAGTTAGCTAGGGAAGGCCACAGTGAGATGGTTACACTCTACCTGTTTTTCAGGCCAGCCTTTCGACCCCACCTTCCTGATTGGCTGTGCACCCTTCAATGTCATTGCGGACATCCTCTTCAACAAACGTTTCGATTACAATGACAAGAAGGCTCTGAGGCTCATGAGTTTGTTCAATGAAAACTTCTACCTGCTGAGTACTCCCTGGATCCAGGTGACAATGCTCCTCCTCTTCCATGAACCTTTGGTTGCATTGTTTACATTAGAAGGAGAAAAATTCAGGTTGTGTGGGAGAGATAGGCCTAGAAAAGCAAAGAGCAGGAGCTTGCAAGAAGGCATCTGACTAGGTTAGCTCAGTACCCTTCTCACTTCAGTACCTGTGTCTTCTCACATGTACACATTCCTAGCCACACTACCCCCAAAAGACAGGTGGACCCAATGTTCTAAATTGTATGGTAAAGGCAACATAAATTCATTGTTTGGAAGTTCCTATCAGTTACATAGTTTTCTTCTCCTTAGCTTTACAATAACTTTGCGGATTATCTGCGATACCTACCTGGAAGTCATAGAAAATTAATGAAAAATATATCTGAAATAAAACAGTACGCACTGGAAAAAGCCAAGGAACACCTTCAGTCACTGGACTCCAACTGTCCCCGGGATGTGACTGACTGTTTGCTTAAAGAGATGGAAAAGGTACTGGACGAGATGGGCTTGCTGGGGTGGGGCAGAATGCACAGTTCTTACATTATAATGGACTTGTTGGTGTTCAGACTGAGCACCATGGTTGCATTTTGATATTCATGGTTTTTCATAAACATGCTTGGCTTCAGCATGATCACTATGCTCTTCTCCGGTCATTTTTGGAGGGAAGGTTCCCTCTGTTCAGCTCCCTGCAGGCCAAGATAAACTGCAACCCTTTGGAGAATCTAGTCTTGCCTGAGAAAACTTCAGTACCCCTTTCAGTATTTATTATCCAAGTTTGCTTGGCTTTTAGGATTCTAGGCCTCTCCAGTTTCATATTCCTGCAGCCTCTAGGACCACTTAGACTGCTACCCCTTACTTTCTTTTTGTAATGGCTTTAAAACATGTAAAATCCTACACTGATTTCCTCTAGATCATTTCCATTTTAGAATCCCTTATGATTAGCTCAACCTCCCCCAGTCTCTGGTCCAAAAGCTCAGCCCTGAGCCTAAAAAGAAGCAGAGACTAGCTCCTGCAGCTTAGGAGAGTGTCATCATTATTAGACAACTCTGGCTCTAATGAGAAGGCTACGGCCCTGTAGTTTGGGTAAGAAAGCCTTCCCTGTGCTTAGCCTGTTTCCTGGAAGCATTGGCTTCGGCCATCATGAGGTAGAGATGGCTGTTTTCTGGTACTACAAGTAGAGTCTGACATAACCTTGTCCCTCCCTGCTGAAGAGCAATAGGCATTACCTTCTTACACCTGAAGAGCTCTATCTCACCATGTCCCTATCTGTCTCCAACTTCACAGGAAAAACACAGCAAAGAACCCATCTACACAATGGAAAATATTTCTGTGACTTTGGCCGACATGTTCTTTGCAGGGACAGAGACCACCAGCACAACCATGAGATATGGGCTCCTGATTCTCATGAAATACCCAGAGATTGAAGGTACATAAATGAGAAGCTGAACTCCCATGTGGAACAGCTGAGCCTAATAGATCACCTTGTGCAAGCCGGGCTACAGCTGCTGTTCAGTGGCTGCTTACTGACCTTCTCAGTGCTCCAAGATCACTGAAAGAATTTCTTTAAGGGCACAGACCTTATTGCCAAGGCCTAGTAACCTAAGCTGGCTGTTCCCCTACACACTCCACTGGGATGCCTATGACCCAGTGATGAAATGGAGAGGGGAATGAGTCTGTGCTCTGCACTGTAAATAACTTATTTACAAAGAAGAAAATAATGTTCCCATTTCCCCTAAGAAAGACTTTTTGAGTCATAGGCTGAAACAGGCCTAGTGGCTAGGTTGGAGTCATCCCAGAGCATCTTACCTCTGAGGACTCTGAAGTAGAGATTGAGAGAGAAGCAATCAAGGCAGTCCCAAATACGCTTCACTTTCTCTTCAAGACAGGAGTAAGTCTGTGCCTGAAGCAGGTACAGGAGCCTTAACCCAGTATGCAGGTCATATGTACATTTGCCAGATAGAGGCAGTGTGATGACCCCTACATGTAAATCGATGGGAATTACCTTTAGGAGAGGAATTGAGAGGGGGTTACAATCTAAGATGAAGGTACCCAAAGTCATGAAACCCTGCCATTCTCTGAGATGCGTGTAGATCTGGGCAGCTACTAATGACAAAGCAATGCTTCCCAAGAACATGGCTGTGTATCTGTCGGCCATCATGAGGTAGAGATGGCTGTTTCCTGGTACTACAAGATTTGAGTTCTGGCCTTTCTGTAAGCAATGCTGACATCTCACAGAAAAATGAAAACTGAAGATGATTAAAGTCTAAGGAGGGAGATATTCAAATTACAGTACCTAGAATGTTGACTACAGGGAAACATGAACTAAAAATGTTTTCAATTATTAATTTAATAAATTTCAAGTATAGACAAAGAGAAAGCAAATGGCAGGCACCCATACATCTGTTACCAAATTGAACATCTACTGACATTTTGTTTTGTTTACTTTGGAGCTCTTAACAAATCAAAGATTATATGGCTAGCCAGAGCCCAACCAACTCACTCTTCCCTGTCTCACTCCCCAGACATGATGAAATTTCAGGACCACTATGTAGCATTCCCATGTGACTTGGACATTTAATATAAACTATCAATACAACATAACTCATTATTTTTATACATGCCTTAATATTATACCATATCATATACAACTTAATGCCCCTTGCTTTTTTCACTCCACATATTGTTATTGTCTGATGTTGGGTCATAGATGCTGCAGTAGAGAAAGAAGCTCACCAAGATAATAAGCCTTCATTGTCCCAAGGGGCAGAGAGGTACAGCCTTCTTGGAAAAGACTGACACATGACTAGCTCATGCCAATTACTTTATGCAAACAACCACAAGGTTAATTGGGGTTGGGAAAGGTTCCAGCTACCAAAGTAATCTTGTTCTTGCTGTCCATGAGAGCAAACAACCCACACAAATCTCAGTCCCTTCTCATTTTGGCAAGCCAGAAGCAAAAGTAAGAAGTCTAGGTCTGCCAGGAGTGTCATGGGACCAAGGTCGGTGTAGCTGCAAGCTCTCAGGGAGCACCAAGTGCAGACTCTCCAGAGAAACAATTCTTCAAGGTTTAAATAGTCTCAAAACAATTTCTTAGTCTCTACTGATTAACCCAAACATAGCAATGACTTTGTTGAAATGCTTCTCTTACAGTCAGACACAAAGGCTTTACTATACATTTCACTTAAATACAGCCTTTAGTTACATATCACTACACATTATAGAGACCATAGTGAATTCCAAACACAGAAAGACTAAG